ATTTTTCAAAAATTAAGTTGAAAAAGTTAGTTTTTGTAAAAAAGTTGCTATTTTAAAACCTCCTGTGAGCAGAATAAGTGTTAGATTTTCAAAAAAAAAATGATATCAAATGAAAGGAAATTACCTAAGGTTTCAATATAAAGAAATATTATTTTGATTAGTTATTATTTAAAAAAGTTAAGGGAGTTTTAAGTACAAAAAACATTCCGATANACCAACCCAACCCCCACTAGAAGGTTAAGTGTTAAATTTTCAAAAAAATTATATCAAATGAAAGGAAAATATCTAAGGTTTTAGTTTAAAAAAAAATTATGTTGATTTGTTGATTTTTGAAAAAGTTATGGAAGTTTTAAGAAAAAAAAGTGAAAAAAATGACAAAATTTGTCGATTTTTAAATTTGTAATTTTTTTGGATATTTCCCCCATTTGCGGGGAACGAGGGAAAATTTTTAAATTTTTAAGGGTAATGTCTTCAACTAGATACAATTTGTGATCTTTTGACGTATTGTTAAAAGAAATCGGTCCAGTGAGAGCTGAGAAAAAGNAGATACAATTTGTGATCTTTTGACGTATTGTTAAAAGAAATCGGTCCAGTGAAAGCTGAGAAAAAATAGTGACAGACACAAAAAAATAAACACATCATGGTAAAATTAATACCTTCTCAGCTTCGCATCGAAGCTAATAATGTTTTTTCCTTCAATAAGCAGTAAAAAATTTTATGAAAATTATTATTTTAAGTTTTTTTAAAGTAATTGTGATTTTATAATGAAGTTTTTTTCTACATAAGGTTTTTAAATAAAACATTTCAAAATTATATATTTATGTTTAAAAAGTATTGTTATAAATAATATTTTGATTGACAATATTTTGTATTTACTAAAAAAAAATTGGTTGTTTTAATTATATTTTGATAAACATTTTGTATTAAACGTTATAATTATAATATTATGAATTTTTTCTTTCTATGAAAATTATATAGAAATTTACCTTAACAAGCCAATAAGGATTAATGCCACACAAAATAGTTTCAAATATAGGTGAACAATAATTTGATATTTCACTATTTAAAAGTGGCATTATGCAAAGAGAAACAGCTGATAGAGAATTGCAAACACACATGTATGATTCATCTTTTAGACCCTAAAATTAAAATATTATTTTATATGAAACTAATTAATAGCAAAATAGATTAATTAAAAATATTCTTCATATATACCTGTAAAATTATACTAATTAAATCGTTTATTTTTATTGGTTTAAAAAGAGTCTCTTTTAACTTAAATTGTCCGTGATTTTCTTTAAGAGTTATACTTATGAATGTACCAATCAATTTAATAGCCATTCCTCTTAAAAGGTGATCTTCATGAGAAGTATAATTAATAACAGTCTGAACTACAGATTCTAAATAAATTTAAATGTAAATTTTTCATACTTAATTTTATTAAATTACTGCATATTTTGAAAGAATGATATTTACACATTTTTAAAATGTTATGAAAACATATTACCAATACACTATAATCAATTAAAAACAATTTTTACTAAGACTGATAAAAATATATTAATATAATAATTTTCATAATTTAATACTACTTAAAACTGAATTATTCATTATAAGTTGAACAAAAAAAGATAAAATTAAAATTCTTTTTTTTACTCATTTTACTCATTTTTAATAAATTAGAAGTACATATTAGCATTGTTATATTAGGTTCAAATTGAGCAAAACTTTTGTATGCTATAAAATAAAGTATTTTTTGGGTGGTGGAGAAAATACAATTAGCACCCTTAAATTTTTTGTTATAGTTGCACCCTAGTCAGTGTATCAAAAGTTAAAATGAATAGGTCAATTTTAAGGAAACCAAATTGAAATAGGCATTAATAATGACTCCCTAAGTATTGATAAAATATATCATTTATAATTAATTGTATAACTAATATTGATCAATTGGAGATAGTTATCTGTAAACTAATAACAATACCATGTATTGTATTAATATATGGTATTGCCTAATAATAATTTCTAAATTTAAAACTGTTTGTGGTATATAAACATATAATATATTTTAATTCTAGTTTCGCTATGTGTAATTTTTTTTTTTTTTTGGCGCCAACTATTATTAAATATTATTATTAGTATAATAAACTCAGTTTTTGGAAATTGTCAAATCTATCATAAGTGTAACAATATCTAAATTAACTAATTAATTTAATATTCATTTTTATAAAGTGTCTTAACTTTTGTGACAATAATTTTCTTAATGTTGTTTTTATAAAATAATAGAGTTTATATGATAATGTTTTATCAAATTGATAAATACTTTAATTATTACTAAAAATTTAGTATTACCTGAAGAATTATAAATAATTAGAACTAAATTTGGATCAAGTTTAATCATTTCAGTAAGACAACAAAGAGCTGAAGATTTAACACCTGTTCTAACTGGTTTATTAGAATCTAATGCTAAAAACATTGAGGTTATTTTTTTGCTCAAAATATTAAGCGGTATGTCAATGCATATTTGATTAATAAATTCAAATTCCTAAAAGAGAATCAGTTTAAATTAAAATATTAGATTAATATAAATAAAAATATAACTAATAATTAATTCAGATATTTACTTGCTGCAACACAGAATCGGAAGTTGAATGATAACTATGATCAGATATTACACTTTGTTCATCAAAATCTTTAGGATTTTCAAACTCAGTAAAAAATATATTATCAACTATTGAATCTACTTCACTTAAACTATCATCACCAAACTCTGAGTATAAGTTAGTCATTGAGTTTGCTGATGAAACTGATGGTTTTGTTGAATCTAAAGATTGCGAAACTGATCTTGTTTCATCTTCAAAATGTGGGTAAGGAATATTTACAAAAGAAGATCCTAAGCTTTCAGATGAGCTGTGATGAAATGACTTTTCTAAACTTTGAGCTAATGTTTGTGGCATCTTAATGGTATTCACAAGAGCATGCATTTTAACTAAAATATAATATTAAATATAAATAGAAGATACAAAGTACTTGAATTTTTATACAACTAACCAATTTCAGTCTCGTGAAGTTTTACTTGATTCAACATATTTCTTTTAAGTAACATATGTAATGTTTCAAATGGACTGAATATAAACAATTGAGTTAAAGTATCTAATGCAGATGTTACTATGTTAGTATCTGGATGCATTATAACAAAACAACAAAATCTAAATATCTGAAAAAAAAACATTAGTTATAATAAAATAAAGGGAAAAAATTATGAATTCATAAAAATTATACATATTCACTAAATATTATGTAAAAATGCTTAAAATATCAGGTTTAAAGAAATAACAAGAAAATAGGTTAAACACATTTTTGGAAAAAACTATATAACAATTTAAAGTACATTATTTATATTAAATAATAACCTGTAAATAAATTTTTTGAAGAAACTTTAGTTCTAGCTTAAATTCATTGGAACTATTATCAACAATATAATTTGAATACTGCAAAATATTCTTTAAATTATTTAGTATTCCAATAATCACACAACTTTCTGCCCAAGAACGTCCAGAAACCATAAATTTATTTATATCTGTAAAAAATTTATCAAAATACATAATAATTTAAAAAAAAATTAATTTAGGCAATTAATAAATTATTTACCATAAATCAAAATAGAATTAATTAACAAAACATATTTAAAAAAAATAATTGGCTTTTTACTATAAAGACATAAATTTTCAATACAAGTAATGCTAGACCTTCGAACAGTTGATGACTCAGTCACAAGGCTATTCATGAACACCTCTAATAGCAACTAAACATAAAAACATTTATTATCAAAATAAGTAATATATCTATAAAAAAAAGTTATCTTTGATTTACTTTAATATTGTTATCTGACATAATATGGCCTAAACTTTGCATTATTTTTGGAAAACTTAGCGCTAACATTTCAGCAATTGGTTCTTCTGATCTCGTCGCAATTTTTCTTAAACAAGGAATCAAAAAAACAACATATTTTTTACGACTAGAAGGACTGGAAAAAAATTCTAAGTAAATATTTAAATACAGATAAAATAAATTATATATGTAAATGTATAAACATTTATTACGTAATCAAGTGACAAATATTTCCAAATCTAGATAGAGCAGCTCTCAAACGACGAACAGTATCATTTCTTTTAATTTCTTTTAACAATTCTACAAATATTTCAGATTTACGGTAGTCAATCATACACTAGAAAATATTTATGAAAAGTAAAACCAGCACTAAATTCTTTATTTAAATTAATTGAATATATATGTATATATATATATATATATATATATAAACATTTTCATTAATATATAAAATAAAAAACTAACTCGCACTACTCTGTTCAAGTTTTCTTCAGCTACCATTCGAACATTAGCTTCAGTGTGATCACACATTCTTAATAAACTATCAATTGATTTGTGTAAAAGCTCACCAAATGTTGAAAAATTCATAATAATAGGTGCACATATCAAATCAGCGGTAGCACGGCAATACTTTTCTTTCTCACCGGCTCTTAAAAAAAAAAATATATATATTTATGATTATAATTTATAAGCTATCAGATATCATATAAGACATTGGACATATAGGATCTGTAAGACATAATATCCCCTTCTAAATCTTTCAGATTAATATTATTTTGATTAAAATAAGTTAAATTTGATTGTATTAGGTAAAGAGAATTACATTTTCTTTAAAACCTCTTAATGACTAAATTATCTAGATGTATTTGCTATTTACCTATTAAAACTATTTTTTAACAAATTAATGAACTTCGTTTACATTATTTAATATAGTTCATGTATCTACATTTATAAATAGACATATATGTGTTTTATACATGCAAATAAGTTTTTATTTTCAGTTCTCTTGATACAAATTTAATCGGGTATGATTTTTATAACCATCAAAATAATAATTACAAAAGATAAAATAAATAAAATTTAAGAAAAAGACAGAAATTCAGTCATCTTTCTACTTACCGGCTAATTAAATCATTTGTTGTGAGCCCATCTAAAGCTCTAGCTAGTCTATCTATGACAGACATAGTAAATTTCACTGCAATAATATCTATTATTTATTAACTTATGGTGGTAAAAAACATAATAAATCACATTTTCTAAACTAATAAAGTAAAAATATATTATATAAATTAAATGTAAAAATACATTATATAATGAATTTTAAATATACAACTTAATTTTGGTTTTATAGTATTTTACTTAAAGTTAATAATTATAAAATTTAAACGTAAACGTCTGATAAGCTATACATTTAATCTTGATAATATTTATCAATATATTCATTACTCTGTGATACATCATTAAATATAGTTTGACTGATACGTGGTCATGGCTGGGAAAACACCTTTCCTACGAACTGATAATGTTCCGATTTATAATCAGTCTTGTAAAAAATACTTTCTCTTAAATATGTATTCACAATAAGTATTCCAATGTTTATAAAAATACATATTCAAAATACATTATTAAAAACTTGAAAAATTATACAAATACTTTTAGAATATATATTTTTTAATTATGTATTTAATATAAAATGATAATTAAATAATTAAAATTTTATCATTACTATTTATAACATTCATAATAAATTGATTATATTATAATTGCAATCTAAATATAACTTTTTCTGGAGTACTTGTAAATATTAAACCAATGTTATCTACACTAGTGCAGATTATATTATTATAGTAAATTTTATTATTGTTGGCTTACAATATATAGATATGTAAAATATCGTACATAAGGCAGAATTATGCTATAGGCATTAATTGAACAAATATGTTATAAACTACATTTTTATACTAAAAAAGGTACATTAGCGTGGGCGACAAGCAATATCGCAACTACTAAATGAAGTTAGTTCTGAAGTCCATGTGTCTTGCACACTCAATACATCCGCTAAACTGGCGACAAGCAAAAAAGAAAAATAGGTTTACCAGGCAAATTATAATAGGCCCTAAACATTGTCTATGGTGCCTAACGAATAATACCGCCCTATACAAACAAATATATCACCATTGTAGTATTATATTACTAGCTTTTCTTGTTATGAATTACTCCAATAGGAATTATAAAAACAATAATTTTTTGTAGAATAGACAAATAAAGTATGTCAATACTGTGCCAGTATTTGGGCAAAATGTCAGTCAATTTCACTCTAATACGGACTAGTTAAAAGGTCAGTTGCCAGTACTGGTGTAATACTTCGCCCGTTATCAATGCTGGTACATTACAAAAATATTTACTTAGGTAATATTGAATAGTAGGTATAAATTTTTAATTATACCAAAGAAAAAGTAAGCTTAATAATATTTATATAATGAAAGAAATAGTCAATGTTTAACTTCGATGCAAATCTGTGAAGGTATAATTTTGTGATTTTTATAAAAATATATATTATGTCAGACCATGAAAATGTTCAGCTCTTACTGGTCAAATTTTAATAATTAATTTGACGAATTAATTATTAAGAACACGATTTTCATCTAGTTATATCTATCAACACTGAACATTTGAAGAAAAAAGCCCACCCATTTTAGAAATTAAAAAAATATCTCAAAATTACGCTGAAGTAGTATTTCCAAACATTTTTTTCTGCATTTTAAAACTGGTATATCTTTTTTTTTACTAATCCAAATTAAATATTGAAAGAATTTACTACAGATAATAAGATTTCTTTTGGTATGCGTTTTGTGAAAATTCAATAAACAATATAAGTACAAGAAGAATTTAAAAGAGACCACCCATGCATGTACATTTTTTTTTATTCAACTCAATTTTTTAAAATGTTTCAGAAGGTTTGATTTTTAACCAAAAAAAAAAAATAAATAAATCTTAAAGTGAACTACAATATTAAGGAAAAATTATCCTTACAATTGCTTTACTATGAGATGTCCATCGTCAAATTTTTGACGACTATTGTTTTTTTTCTACACTCAAAATACTTGATAATATTAACAAATTAATTATCAATATACATCCAATAATATTTTTTTATCAGGTGGACTATTTTTTCTATTAATTTAACAAAATATTAATTAATTTCATTATTTTTCTATTCTTTTAACTAAAAAGATGATCCATTTAACAAAACGTTTCGATAAAGCATTTGTTAATTTTATTAGAGGATTTTCTTCAGTGTATGCACATTACTGTTAAAATAATTAAGCTTTCCATTGACATATTGATCGTAACCCTTCGGTTATAACTATTTGTATTAAATGAAATCTGTACAGGTACTTTGAAAATTAACTGGACCCCACTGTTGGAAATGAATGGGGCAAGGATAGGGGAAACATTAAAATATATCATTAATCCCTCCTAAATTTTTATTTTATTTCCACTTCTGGGACTACAAATTTTTAAATGTGCCACTACGGTTTATGACTGATTTTCACCAAAGTTTAAGACAATTTAATAAAATAATAATGTTTTGATTGTTAAAATTGATTTTAATAACTTTGAACAATTATAGTTAGTTGGTAAAATTGTTGATACAGCTATTAATAAATATTTTTAAGTTACCATTAGACAAACGTAAAATTAGCGTTTTAGTGCACTCAAAATAAATGTTACTGTTATAAACACTATAATTTGACATTGAACGTATATTATTAGTTATTACAAAACAAACAACAATTATGTTTAATAAATCGTTTATACATTAGCTATTTTTAGCCAGAGTAATCACCACACTTATAGCATTTACAATCTGCGGGTTCTTTTAGTTTCACCTCAAGGGTAGCCAATTTTTCACCAGTAAGTCGCTGACCGTCTGGGTTGTAACAGTGTGTAAGAGTTATCACCCTTTCCCTCAAAAATGTTTCACGGCAACAGTAACACTCCTAGAACGTATGAACAAGAGATTATTTCAGATATGGACTAGGTGTTCTCGGTGTAATTTTATTTGCATGATAATCATCATCTCTTAATTCATAGTAACTATAAATTAAAATTAGTCGTTACTTTTAAAAAACCGCTTGGTGTAATGACACTAGGTTGTACTTGAGAATTACATGCTCCTTCGCATTTGTTTACCGCTACGTCGCCACTGCACGTCCTTTGTAATCTTCCCAGTTCGTCGAATTCCTCTGATCAATTTTGCAAATTTAAACATATTTCTATAACACAATTTATTTTATCATTTTAAACTCACCTTTTGTAATATGTAAATCGGACGGTAAAGTCTCACAGCCTTCTGAATTGTCATCAGCCAACACGTCATTGACTAATATTATACTAATTAAAGAAAAAACAGCAAAATGACACAAAAACCGATGCATGTTTTCTGTTAATAAAATAAATTTAATTCCTATTTATTTAAAAATATTTAGACACTTATTAAAAATTATCCAATAAAAACTATAAACGTTATATATTTCGGTGAAAAAAAAATTGATTATTTGAATGAAATATTAACTTAGGTCCGGTGTCGTACAGTGACCGTTCACGACAAAACGTGTTGTCGATTTTCTAAGGCTAACATAATAATTTTTCAGCTTCTGTTCTCTCGAGTCACTAATGGATTGTTGTTTTTGGAAGAGTATCACCGGGTGGTATTATGCTTTAAAAATTTTTGTCATGTCCAAACAAAACATACTATTGATTTTATACATATATATATATATTAAATATTCTTGTAATCGATTTAAGTCTATAAAATGAAAAAAAAAATACAATTTTACTGCTTCTAAATATTTTTTTGTAACGAGAGTTTTCACTTCTCAGGTCATTGCCCACAATAATTATTGTTATGGTGTTAAAAATGGATTTTTTTTCTGCTAAAAATAAATCCAAATCAATTTCGAATTAATGATTTTGTTTATTAAACTTACTATTTAAAAAAAATAATAGTCACACGGAAAAAATGAACGGTTAACATAGTGACAACTGCAATTAAGGCAGATGAAATTACTAAATAAATGATTGGGTTAACAGAATATTCAGTTATTCCAACTCTCCTACTTGTAATTTTCACCCAANACTAAATAAATGATTGGGTTAACAGAATATTCAGTTATTCCAACTCTCCTAATTGTAATTATCACCCAAGCAGATAATTTTGTAAAACCTAAGTATTAACTAAAGGCACTTACTTAATACTGCGAAATGCCAATACTGCGCGTAACACTGGCATGTTAATAGCTGACCAGCACGTACTAGTGTAGTACTGGGTGTTATCTTGTTTAAGTACTGAGACAGTACTGATCGTAAATACTGACTGCCATTGTAACGTCATTGCTTATCGAATACCGTCAGAGTACTGGCCCACTAAAACTCCAGTACTGGTTTGCCCTGGATCGTTGAAGTTGTGTCTAGCGTTGGCAGAATACCGACAGAATACTGGTACTGACAAGTTTCCAGTACTGATTTACTTTGGCACGTTGAACTTGTACTAGGCTTTGACCGAATATCAAAAAGTTTCCATTACTCACAAATACTTCTATAAAACCAAGATAAACAATATATCAATTAGAAAATTAATTTTATGTTGGATAGTTCGTATAATTTTTAATTATAAACTCGCTTGAATTTAATATAATTATAATATAAACAGCACGAAAAAAAGCTAATTCCGCTAATATCAAATTAGTCGACTCCAAAATACACCGTTTACTGATTTTATGTAAATTGTAAAAGTTGTACCAGTAATGTCTGACACAACAGCACTATCGATGGTTAGACAGACGGATGATAGATAAGATGGCGATAAGTTACCTTGGGTATTGACCACTGCTAAAACTGTATCTTTTTGTTTATAGTTTTCAAAACCAAGTAAAACGGCAAGTACTAATATTTTTCGTTATAGATAATAATTCCATTATATTATTTTTAAATATATTTAGAATTATAAAATTTTTATTTTATTGATTCGAAAAGCTATTTAAACAGATTTGTGTTAGTAAAGCTACTACAGCTCATTTGTGCGATACACATATATTGAAGTCTTCATAATATTCATTTTGTAAGTGCAATTAATTATTTAAGTTTCACAGTATAATTAAAACTTTGCCTTTTAAATATATAATTACATGTTTCATTTTCTACTGTTCATGTCTATACTATGAATAGTAAAAATTACTTAGTGAAAAATTATTTTGCACAGACATACAGTAATATATATATATATATATGGGAGGATGTAGCCGACTAGAATGATAATTTAAAATTAGTATTCTTTTTTTATAAATTATATGAATAAAATAATGGTTTTAAAATTAATATTTAATTTTGTTTTTTAATCAACTTAAATAGAATTTATACTGTTATAATATACATAAAAACCTTCATAATATTATATATATATTTTTTTAATTGTTAATAAAATGTATAAATTGTATTCTAAGTTAAAAAAGAAAATTAATATATTAGCAATGATAGTCTAAATTTTATCTTATTTTAATTTTTGACTTGCTATAAAAAATAATCATTAATATATATTGTTTTGGTTCAAAGTTGAGTTCTACAATTTAATCTAAATCAAAAAGATTTTCACCAAGTACCAGTGCACAATTGGTACTCAAATATATTTATTACTGCGATCTCTAAAAAATAAGTTAACAGATATTGTAATATCTATAAATTTTACCGCGTTTACAAAATTTTATCAAATTAATTTACCAGTAAAACAACTAATTCAACACTAAAGAGCCAAATAAAAAATAAAACTGTACATGAATATAAACTGTTTGTAATGTAGAAAAATTAATATATAATTATTTCAAATAATTGCTCATTGCAATTAACATGAGTTTAAATTTATATTTTAGTTACTCGCCTGGGGGCTAGCGGTGTCGGCTGTGAACGACGATTTTGTCGTCGAGACACCCAGTTGCTGGAATNACGATTTTGTCGTCGAGACACCCAGTTGCTGGAATTGTAGAAAAATAGGGCATTTATATCCCGTGACTGCCTTAACAAGCGTAATACCGTGTGTTGTGGCTGTAGGAAGTTAGCTTTGCAGTAGCCATCTGGGAAACCGGCACGGATCCATATCAACAAGTTGGAAGTTGTTTGAGTTGATTGACACCGTACAAGTGCCGGACGTCATAGTTGAACGAGACTGGTTAGACGTTGTTTATCATAAGATTGGTGGTAAACTGTATTTGTATAAGGCTGATCCAGTTGACGTTCAGTTTGATACTACGGTAAATTTAGCATGATTATTATAGAGTTCCTTAGATTTATCGTACGGGGATGCGTTCAGCACGTGAGAAGCGCAAATTTAAACGGATTTGCACAATACGAGACGAATTTTTGGACTCGCTAACTTGTTCCGCTGGTCTGTACCGCGTTTTGCGATTATTAGTAAGTCATTTACTCTCGGAAAGGAGAAGAGTTTTGCTGGACTGACGAAAAAGAAGAAGCATTTTCTACTTAATAAAAAATTTCTTCTGAGCGAGACGGTGCAGGTGATGTATAGATTGAATGCTGCGACTACCAAGCCGATCATGTGTTGATTTATCGAACTTGGTGTCGCTAGGTTAGTCCTTTAAACATATGTTTAAACACGCAGTGTTTCTTAAACATTTTTAAAAACAATATTAAAAAAGATAACATTTAGTTCAAAAGTTGATATTTTGAATCCCTCAGTTAAAGGGACATATTTTCAAAAATATTATACCAAATGAAAGTTTTCATAACTTTTTGAAAAACTGTCATAGTTTAAAACAAAAAAGCTTAAACATGTCAACAAATTAACCGAGTTTAAAAATCGTAAAATTTATGACAATTTTCAATATTTACAGGATATGAGGACATGTTGTAGAATTAAGGATTTATTTTATTATAATAAATAAACAAGTAAATAAATAAATAACACAGCGGTTAAATTTATTTTAACATATATTTTAAATTAGTATTTAATAAGTCCGTACAAATATCACGATTATTTATTCCGTGAGGACGTTGAAAGGTTGGGTTTAAGCGATTACCAAAGTAGAAATTTCTGTAATGTATCAGCACAGACAACAAGAGTAGTACTGCACCAGTACTGGCAACTGACCTTTGGCTAGTCCGCACTGGCGTAGAACTGAGCGACGACTTGTCTGAGTACTGATCCAGTTACTGGCGGTCAGAACTAGCTGCCAACATAACGCTATTGCTGGCAGTATATTGGCGTAATACTGATTATACATAACATCTTATACTGATCTGCCAGCATATTAACAGTACTGGAAGAGTATTGGCGGAATATACAAACCATCCAGTATTGGTCTGCCTGAGCTTCAAGTATTATGCAGAAGTGTAGAAGTAATCGATATAAGACGTTCGTTTTAAGTATAAAGAGTTAAAAATATTATATTTAATATTTTACATTATTATGTAAATTTGTCAAATACATACACTTATGTAAATAACTGATCTAATATATATTACATTAATTATTATAAAAAAATACATAGTTTAATACATGTAACGAATATATTTTACTATATTATATACAGTGGATTCCGCTTAATATGGGCACGTTGGGACCAGAATTGTTTGTCCACATTAAGCGGTTGCCCATAAAAACCGAAATTAGTTAAAAAAATTTTAATGATATCAAAAAAAAATTATTTTACACACGTTAATCATACAATTACCACGTATATTAATTAAATTAAATATAAAGTACATTATTTTTAAAAACTTAATACATACATACATCATACTAAATAAAATTACTTTTTGGGTGTAGAAGGTATACAATACGTTGTAATTGCTCGTTGTCTAAGCTGTTTTGTGTGGATTTTTTTACCGTCGTTACCCTCTTGCATAAAGAACTTCTGCAACAAATCAATGCATTTTTTAGCCTCTCTAGTTTCAACGGGTGGTTCAGTATCGTCTTCTTCTTCTTCTTCTTCAAACTTCCTTTTTTTAAGAACATTTTGTACTATTGAATCACAAATGTCTTCATTATTATCAAAACAAGGAGCATTTTCATCAATGTTTTCAAACTCGCTGTGGTTTTGAATAAGTAAAAATTGTTCATTCAATTCAGTCAACTCAGGTTGTTGACCAACCTAAGGTTATTACTTTCGATAAACATAATGTCATAGATATGACGAAACCGGATTAAATTAGTCGTTTTAACATACATATATGTATATTCTAACCCTATAATAAAATAAAAATTGCCCACATAAACCGAACCAAATGTCCATATTATGCGATTTTTTTTACCCATGTTAGTATACATTGGGATTGGACCAGACCATTATGCCCATATTTAGCGGATGCCCTTATTAACCGGTGCCCACATTAGGCGGAATCCACTGTATTTCTAAATATAATTTAATCCAATCCAAAAAATTAGGTTGGGGTAATATACAATAATAATAATAATAAATTAATAATTAAAATGAAATAGTGTGTTGATTTTAATCATAATCTAATTTTATCGACAAGGGAATCTCATGAAAATCAAATAGATTAACTTATTTTTACTAGTTACTCGTGGTATTCATAGTATCTTATTAAAATTATTTTATAAAT